AACCGGCTGCTGATGTCAAAGGAGCACAAAAACGATTGTTTAGTGATTGCTTACCGGTTTACGTTGATCCGACTCATTTTATAAGCTGTACTATTTCCTCTAGATCATTTTCCAGACAGTTCCGCTATGATTAGTGTCTGGTGAAAAGCTTCAGCAGACATTTCTTTTGTAACATCTCAACCAACAATTGGTCCAGTTATCAACGCTATGTTCAAGTTTGGAACAACTCGACTTTCAAGATCTACATATCTACATGAGCCGATGTTTCCATTTATCAACGTTATATTTTAAGATCTGTGCAAGAACTCAGCTAACAGATGTTTCCGTATATTAAAGCTATCTTATAAGTTTTTCGCGCCTGTTAGTTAGTTTTAGAGCAAAGCCACATTGAGCTATCTGCTGTGTCCATCGCAGGGAATCGAACCTCGGATTTTAGCGTTAGAAGTCTGTAAACTTACCGCTGTCCCACAGAGGTACACACATGAAAAACATACTAATTTCTTTTCTTCACCAAACATATTATATAAAGCGATTATTTTGCTTCGGTCACTTGGCCACATTTTCCTCATGCATCACTGTCCCGTGATAAATTGGAGTGTGTTACTACTATTCGCTTTGGCCTGGCATTACCTAGTGATTAGGGCGCTCGACTCGCAATCTGCGGGTCGCTGGTTCGAACCCCTGTCACTGGACATGCTCGCTCTTTTACTCGTAAGAGCGTTATAATGTGACAAGCATTCACATTATTCGTTGGTAAAGGAGTAGCCCAAGAGTTGACGGTGGGTGATGTTGACTGGCTGATTTCCCTCTAGTCTAGTACCATGTGTACTAAATTAGGAATGGTTAGCGCAAATAGCACTCTTGTAGCTTTGCGAGAAATTCCAAACAAACCAAACAATACTATTCGCTTCCCTGTGTTTTATACACTCAAAAACCTGATAACTGTCAGTGAAGTATTCTTTACAAGTCAATTTATGTGGTTATTTTTTCAAACTTTAGTTGTGTCGCAGAACAAAAACGTTGAAATCAACTGCTTTGGCTAAGTATGGGAAGATCAGGTATTGGTTTCATTGATTTGCTTGTTTGTAGTTAAGCACAAAGCTACACAAAGGGCTATCTGTTCTCTGCCCACTACGGGTATCGAAACCCAGTTTCTAGCGTTGTAAGTCCGCAGACATGCCGCTGTGCCACTAGGGGGCTGGTTTCATTGAAGATTTTACTGCCTTTAGCGTATTTTTTAGTAGGTTTAACGTAACTTAAACCTACTTTACGTCGTATGCAAATACCGTATTGCTATCTTGATCAAACTTACTGCGCATGCCCGTCAAATATAAATAGATTGAATCATTATGCTGCCCATTTTAAAGTTGTTTACATCTGGACTTGCTGAAGCCCAAGAAACACATGAGACTGACGTATTCATTTGACGAAGAATTATTTGTACGAAGTGCGCATGCTTGAAAACAGTCCGTAACTGTCAACGTGTTGATTAGAACGAAACCCAATGTAAACTTCGAAAACTTAAGAACAAGTGCACTGACTAAGTGAAGCACTTAAATCAGTGTTATTTTTTGTGATGTAAGCTATT